CAACATCGCGGATGGCGGCTTCACGGGTGAGGCCACGCGTGCGCGCTGGGGCTGGCCTGGGTGGTCTGGGTGGGCCGCGCCTGCGCGTTGGGGCTGGCCTGGGTGGTCTGGGTGGGCCGCGCCTGCGCGTTGGGGCTGGCCTGGGTGGTGCCGGTGGTGCCGGTGAGGCCGCGCGTGCGCACAGGGCTGGCCAGCGGGGTGCGGGCTCGAGGCCTCGCCCGCTGACCTCCCTTGGCGGGTGCGGGCCGAGGGTGCGCGCGGGGTCCGCGTCTCACGGGCTGTGCCCCGCAGAGCTGCACTCGCTGTGGCAGAACGAGGAGCGGGCGGCCACGGTCACCAAGAAGACCTACGAGATCTGGCACCGGCGCCACGACTACTGGCTGCTGGCCGGCATCATCAAGTATCCTTGCGCGCGGGCGGCTCCCGGGGTGCGGGGGTGCGGGGTGCCGGGGCTCCCGGGGCTCCCCGGGTGTCGGGCCGGTTGTGCTCCTGAGCGCGCGCCCGCAGCCACGGCTACGCGCGGTGGCAGGACATCCAGAACGACCCGCGCTACGCCATCCTCAACGAGCCCTTCAAGGGCGAGATGAACCGCGGCAACTTCCTCGAGATCAAGAACAAGTTCCTGGCGCGGAGGTTCAAGGTGAGCGGCGGGACTGACGCGGCCCACGCGGGGGTGGGGGTGGACGAGATTCCAGAAGCTTCTGCCAGGGAGTGAGTCGGCTGGCTCCGTCCTCGTTTGATTTTTCTGTGACTTAGTTTCCAAGTTAGCAGAAGTGAGGGAGAGTGAGGCAGCTGCGCGTGCGCGGTGCGGAGGACGAGTGAGGCAGGCAGCTGCGCGTGCGCAGTGTGGAGGACGAGTGAGGCAGGCAGTGCGTGTGCGCGGTGCGGAGGACGAGTGAGGCAGGCAGCTGCGCGTGCGCAGTGTGGAGGACGCGTGAGGCAGGCAGTGCGCGTGCGCCTCGCGGAGATCAAGGGAGGCAGCTGCGCGTGCGTGATGTGGAGGGCGAGTGAGGCTGGAAGCTGCGCGTGTGCGGTGTAGAGTGCGATTGAGGCAGTCAGCTGCGCGTGCGCGGTGTGGAGGACCAGCGGCGCAGCTGCGCGTGCGCGGTGCTGACGGGCGGGTGCGAGTTCGTCCATGAGCTGGAGCGTCGGCGAAGGGGCTTCCTGAGGAGGTGGCTGGGGGGGATGGGGGCCCTTTTCTGGGTCACCGCGCTCGCGTGGATAAAGGGGAGGGCGTGCGCCCCGCGGGGAGGGGGGCACCGAGGCACCCCCGGGCTGGACCTGAGCCTCACCTCCAAAGCCAGCCTGGGCTGGACAGCACCTCCGCCTCCCGAGCAGCGGGGATCACAGGCGGGATCCACCACGCCGCTGGGAGACTCAAGTCTCTAATTACAGAAGGCTTAAGTGGTAGAGCGCCAGCCTTGATCGATAGAGCTAAGGGACAGCACGCGGCCCTGAGTTCCAGTACCACCCAGTACTGGCACAACAGCAAACCCACCTGTGGCTTTTTGGCCATATAGAAACTACCCCTGGGGCAGATCTGGCCTCTGGGCCCTGGTGTGCCCGCTCTTCCACTCGGGGTGATGGGCAGACTCCAGAGACAGCTGCCGCTCTGGCCCCGAGTCATGGAGAAAGTTGGGGGCGTCTCTCGGGACATGAACAGCTTTAGTAGAAAAGAAGGAAGTAGCCGGGCACTGTGGCTCCTGCCTGTCATCCCAGCTGCTCAGGAGGCTGAGATCTGAGGATCATGGTTCAAAGCCAGCCTGGGAAAGAAAATCCATGAGACTCTTATCTCCAATAAACCATTCAGAAAACTGGAAGTGGCGCTGTGGCTCAAGTGGTAGAGCACCCACCTTGAGCTAAAGAGCTGAGGGACAGCGCCCAGGCCCTGAGTTCAAGCCCCATGACTGACCCCCACCCCAAAAAGGGAAGCATATCCACACTGCCTGACCTCCACCGCACCCCAGGACTGAGACTATCTGCGCCTAGGATGTTCATTCCGTAAACATAATCCACACAGTGCTGGCTGACAAAACAAAACAGTGGAAGGCCTAGGAAGGTGGCTCAGTGGTAGAGCGCTTGCCTGGCATGCATGAAGTCCTGGGTTCGATTTCTTAATACCACATACACAGAAAAAGCAGGCCGTGGCGCTGTGCCTCAAGTGGTAGAGCGCTATAGCCTTGCGCACAAAAGCTTGGGGACAGCACTTAGACCTAAAGTTCAAGCCCCAGTACTGGTCAGAAAAACAGAACCAACCAAAACCCAGCCAGGTGGCCTATGGTGGGGCATGCCTGTAATCCCTGCACTCAGGAGGCTGGGACAGTATAGCAAGTCGAGAGCAGCGTGGGTAGCTTCAACCTGACGCCAGGACAAACTGCAGCCGTGAGCCGAGGTGGAAGGTGGGAAAGGCTGAGTCCAGGGCAGAAAGAGGATGTTGGATCGGATGGATTGGCAGCGGGTGCAGCCCCAGCCCAGGCTTTCTCCTGTCAGTTGCTGGCCCAAAATGGATGTGGGTGCGCCTGTGGGTGCGGGCTACGGGTGTAGCTGAGCAGCAGGTTTTGTGCCCTGAACACCTGTGGCCCTGAGTTCAATACCCACCCTGCAAAGGAAACAAGGAGGGGAGGAAATTCTCAGCGTGTACGTGACTAGTGTTTATTGCACTGTTTTTTGTGTTTTGCCTTTTCCCTCTGCATGTTGTTATAGACAGCTGTGTGCACTGCGTGCACATGCGCGCGTGCGCACACACACACACGTGTGATCAGAGACGGGCGTCATCTCGCTCTCTTGTGTCCGTCAGCTCCTGGAGCAGGCCCTGGTGATCGAGGAGCAGCTGCGCAGGGCGGCCTATCTGAACATGTCCGAGGATCCCTCGCACCCGTCCATGGCCCTCAACACCCGCTTCGCCGAGGTGGAGTGCCTGGCCGAGAGCCACCAGCACCTGTCCAAGGAGTCCATGGCGGGAAACAAGCCTGCCAACGCAGTCCTGCACAAAGGTAGCCCGTGGCCGCCCGCTCCGCCCTCTCTTCCTCCTCGTGTCTAGACACTTGTGCTAGTCCTGAGCCTTGAACTCGGGACCTGGACACTACTGTCCTTGAGCTTTTTTTTTTTTTTTTTTTTTGGCTGATGGCTGGTTCTCTGCCACTTTGAACCACAACTCCACTTCTGGCATTTGGCCGGCTCATTAGAGATAAAGAGTGTCATGGACTTCCCTCCCTCCCCAGGCTGGCCTCAAACCCGGATCCTCAGATCTCAGCCTCCTGAGTAGCTTCAGGTGGCAGGCGGGAGCTACAGCGCCCTGCTAGCTTCTGTGCACTTGGGAGCCGGCCTGGGAGCTCGGGCTGTGCTGACGAGGCTCTCTGCCTCTCTTTGACTCTTAATGTATTCAGGTTCTTGACACGGAATGCAAACTAGCCTAATAAGAGTGTCACCCCGGATTTAGAGGTAACATCAGGTGTTTAAGAGCCCTTCAAATTTTAGACCCCTATCAACCTTTTCTTTCTAATTAAAGCAGAACATGAGGAGGAGGAGGTGGGGGTGAAATAAGGCCAAGAAGGCTGCTAGAAAAGAAGTGGGAGGTAAGTGCAGGCAATCGTAGAGCACTAAGGAATGGGAACAGGAGCTCCGGGAGGATCACAAGCCCAACACTCCATTTCTGACCCCCCAAGAATAAAAAGGGGAAATAAGAGGCTACAGCAAAGAATAGTGAAGGCCAGGTGACGACAGCGCAGAGAACGGCTGGGTGTGGCAGCCCACTCCTGTAGTCCCAGCAACTCCGCTGTCAGGCCAGCTAGAGGGAGATGAGCAAGTCTGAGACCACCCCAAGCAAAAGTGAGGGAGCCAGTGTGCATGGCCCAAGGCTTAGCCCCCTCCTGCCGGGCATGCGCAGGCGCTGGGTCCTGAACCCAGGAGTTCGAGACCAGCCTGGGCCATCTCAGGAGACTTCGTGTGACCATTTGGAAGTGGAATCGGAGGAGCGGGGACGCAGCGGCTGTGGGGCGCCTGGGCCTCACGGGCAGAAGCCTTGCAGTGAGGGCGGCCCGGCTCACCGCCTCGGTTTCCCCGTGCAGTTCTGAAGCAGCTGGAAGAGCTCCTGAGCGACATGAAGGCCGACGTGACGCGGCTCCCCGCCACCATCGCGCGCATCCCCCCGGTGGCCGTGAGGCTACAGATGTCGGAGCGGAACATCCTGAGTCGCCTGGCGAACCGGGCCCCAGAGCCTCCCCCGCAGCAGGTGGGTGTACCCCGATTTCACCCCCAGCCCCCCTCCTGGAACTGGGGGGGGGCTGCTCCCTGTCCCTGTCCGGTGGCATCTGGGATTGTGACTGGTCGGCCATCTTCCCCCCTGCCCCATAGGTGGCTCAGCAGCAGTGAAGAGCGGATGTGACCATCAGTCATCTCCTCGTGTCCCCGCTTCTCCCCTGGGGGCTTCCTCCTGCCCCCCGGACCCCGGTCCCAAAGGAACGGCAGCGCCTGGCACCGCGGGGAGGGGCGGAGCCGCCGGGCGGCCCTTCCTGCTGCAGAGACTGGCAGCGCTCGGTGGCCTATCAGCAGGGAGCTGGCAGCAGTGGGCGGGCCTTGTGGGCCCTGGGCTCCGCCCCTCCACCACTGTTACACACAGACTCTGTGGGTTCCTGCCAGGCTTGAAGAAAAACCATCTGAATCTCCTCTGTTTTTTATTTTGGTTTTATTTTGTGCTTTCTCTCTCTTTTTTTTGGATATTCAGAGTGGGCGGAACCCTGGGAGACACAGCTACCTCTCTGTTGGCATCATTTTTTTTCATACTAGGAACCCAGCAGTTCCAGCCACTTGACTGAGAGACAAAACGGAACTTAAAAGGCGAAAACCAGGAAAGAAGAAAATTGGGGGGGGGAAAAAAAAGAGAAAAAGAACCAAAAAGCATTAAAAAAAAAAAGCAAACAGCAAATTTCTTGATGAAAATGAAAAAAATAAAGGTTTCCTTGTATTTTAACGCTCGGATTCCGTGTGGGGGTAGCAGGGGGATGGGTGCAGACGCCCCAGAAAGAGAAGCAGCCCCAGGGCCCCCTGCAAGCCGGCCCCCTCTGCTCCCAGCCTGGGATTCCAGGTTGCTAGTACAGCATCCATCTGAGACTCGGGGAGAGTTGCGGGGTTGGTTTGTTGCTGGGCCTGGGTCTTGAATTCAAGGCCTGCTCACTGGCATTGAGGCTGGTGCTCTACCACTTGAGCTACGCTCCACTTTGGCTTTTTCTGTGATTGAGTCTTGTGGGCTCTGCCTGCTCAGGCTGGCTATGAATCCCTGATCCTCAGATCTCAGCTTCCTGTGTAGCTGGGGTGACAGGCGGGAGCCACGGGCGCCAGCCTGCAAGTTATTTTTAACTTCTGGCCCCAGATTTCAGGACTCTGCCTCAGGCTTTGGCTTGGCTTTTTCACTTAAGGCTGGTGTGCTACCACTTGAGCCACAGCTCCACTTCCTGCCTTTTGCTGGAGATGTGCCTCTCATGGACTTTTGTGCCCAGGCTGGCTTCCAACCTCGATCCTCAGGGCCCAGCCTCCTGCGTGGCCTGGATGACAGGCGAGACACAAAGATGGCAGGAAAAGTTCCTGGGACGTTTGTTTTTGGTAGTCTTTTTTTGCCGGTGAAGGGAGGCCTTGAGGCAAGGTCGGGGACCCCAGGGTGGGCAGGGGGTAAAGGGGTTCAGGAGGGGCCGCCTTCCAGACAGGACATTCTGACCCTGGTACAAAAAAAACCAGCCTCGGGAGGGCGGGGCCACAGCGGAGAGGGGCGGGGCCCCGCGAGGGCGGGGCTGGTACAGGGAGGGGAGGGGCCTCCTGGTGGGCGGGGCCAGCAAGGGGGAGGGCGCGCGGGGCCGCCGGG